CACTTAATTGTGAATAAAAGCGAAACGCGTCCATCGATTTTCATGATCTATGTCTCATTTTGCTTAAAGGTTATGTGACTTTGCGTGAAAGTAATACGACTTGCCTTTTTTTAAGTTTTGGATTTTTTATGAATTTAAAAAATAAAAAAATTTAATATTTTTTTTTTTTTTCTTCATACATTTAATTTTACCGGCAAAACTGTTGATTATATAGAAAAACGTTATATGAACAGATTAAAGGAATTGTAATTTTTAATTTTTTTAAATTTGTTTGAGCAAAATCGGACTAGTGGTTCTCGAGTTATGTCAAAAAAAAGACCACCAAAGGTGACAATTTCCCCTATATGATAGTTACTAACTTCAAATCGATATATATCGATTCCTAGACGTGACCCAGCGAAAAGCCGGGACACGTATAACTTCTTTTTTACCGATATAACTATCCCCGGTAGTTTGAACCCTTCCCGATCACTGACCCCTACCATTTGTCTCACAGTGTAATGAAACGTAGAATAACATCGATGTCTATAGAGTCAAGGTCAGCACGATTCTGAAAGAAAATATTTTTTCTAAAACCGACTCTCTGCTATGGTGAAATAGTCTAGAAAATAACGCTCAGCACTCACAAGCCATCATCCCAGTGGTTGCGACACCAACTGTTTCCATATTCCATTCGCATGCCATGCCTTCCTATTAGTCTGTGGCGAGTAACAATACCAAGCGGGCCAAATTCACTTTTCCTCCTTAAGTTCGATTGTGGGCAACTCCTAGGGATATCAAAGTGGTCCACAATTCTTACTCCGCTATTTGACGCAACTGTTTCCGCGAGAATTTCCCTAGATCCAAGAGCCATCTTTAAGGCTACGAGTATGCTTTAACATTGCGGAGATCTAATCGCAGCCACTATAAATGATCTTAGAATTCTTAAAAAAAAACTTTTAGAGCAGTAAATTCAGTCTCGAAAACGTTACAAATGTGATGGGGTTCATTAAAAGCTCTTCCGGGTAAATGCTGCTACTGACCTTTTGCTCAATTTTGAGCCATCTGTACAAGGCAGCGCCGAACTTAGGGTTGGAATTTAGATTTCACATTCGATCCCCTTTTGAAAATTCTGGTATAAAACTTGTTTTTGAAGCAGAAGAGCATATTACGTCCAAAAATTTCGGAATGTCCGAAGCTAAGTTTTTAGCAAGTGAGATTTACTTTCAATCTAATTGCTTTCAACTTAACCCGAATCATAACCTATAAATCCAGAGCTTTACTGAGGGACAGAGGGCAATGCTTCTGTCATTAATATGAAATCAGCTCTTTTGAGTGGTTTAATCAAATTTTACCACTAGATGATGACTAAAAAAACGGATGAGTGCAGCCATATCAGCAACGTATAAGGTATGTATTCAAGTTTGGAGTTGCAAAGATTTTTAGATAATCATAAGCGCTCAAAATAACGGAAGTAAATAAGACTGTAACTTTGATGCTGGGACGGACATTGCGGACATAATTTTTATTTTCAATTTACAAAAATTAAGCCTACTTGCCAAACAGCCTTCCCCGCTTGGTCCGACCCAGTCGAAACGGCAATAGACGACACCGACGATGGAAACTCCTAACTGCTTCACCGATCACTGCATGGTTGGGGTACGATAGTGCTATAACAACCAGAAAAAATGTAATGCAATCTACTAACTGTGGTTTCAATTAATTTTCATCTTTTGCACTCAGCAGCTTATTTATTGGACGGTCACATCATTAGATTGCACATCAAAGTTGCGGTTCTACTCCAGCATTTTATGAAGAATAGCGTCGAGACATATATCTCGATAGAATTATAAGGTTCCTGGGCCATAATAATTCAGCACAAGGCTTCCGGTAATGTTCCTCAAGGATCCACATACGGTAATATGCTCAAATAAAAATTAATCAACGAAGCGACAAGCATGTAATCCGCGGATGACCTCCCCAAAGTAGTTGTCGCGAAACGGCTCTGAAGTTTGGACAGATGCGTTTAAGGTGGCTTCATGTAGTCGAGGAAACAAATGTATTTAAAAGCTATGTGAATTTAAGTCCAAATAATAAGTAAACTTCACACAACGCCTTCAAATTTTCTTTGGTCGGACTTTCATCCATCTGAATATTTCATTGCCCACGCGCTCCCCACAAAAGTTGTATCTTCCTGTAACTCCCAAGGATTTTATAGCCTATATCGCAATACATATTATATTTGGAAGTAAGAAAGCAGTTATTTGAAATCTCATATGAACACAAGACGATAGAGGTGGTTTAAGTCAAACATTCATTTGAAAAGTTCCAATCCTTTGGCACACTGCTAATTACCTTTCAAAAGTATATCCAACTAGTATGTCCTCGGTGTAGCGATTAAAAATAACTTCTGTGTCATAAATAGTTAAAAAGTCTGCTTTTGGGCATTTACAAATTTCTGCTCATTACAAAATTTTACGGATAAAACGTGAAAAGTTTTCACTTTTACAAGCCACAAAATTTACTCTGTAAAACACTCAATAAAGTGCAAGAGCTGTGGCCGTGTGCTGTAGCATGCATTGCGTTACATTGCGAAGGATGCCAAACGTGGTGAGCGCGCCTAAAGGCAGACTGCATACATTAATTTGCTTATCAAAACTGTGTGCAACCGAGAGTAGGAACAAACACCTTTGTCTAAGTACTTTTGCATATTGCCGCACCTAAAGCGGCAGCAGACGCTGATGAAGATATCACAGCGACGCTAAGCAATTAATACAGGAAACTGTATGAGCCACCATTTCACCACACACACACACACTCACGCACATTTACAGTTTTTTGGCAGTCTGTGTGTGCTTGATCCACAAATAATCCCGGTGCGCACATTAAACTTGCAACACCCGCATGACGCATGCCTCCAACAACGACCGTCTGCCACACACACACACGTCTGCATGCCCTTCGCGTCCATCGACTGCCACATTTCACTTTCGCACTTTTCCCAGCAACGTGCTGCAAATAACTTTAACTCACATTGAGGCTTAACGTTTTTAGTTTTTGTTGCAGCACTTTGAGCGTGTTTGCACATTTTTTTTTCCCCCTACGGCGCGAGTGTGTGTGGGAGTGCGCCTTTGGACGTGTGTGTTTGTGTTCGACACGTCAGACTCAATTAAATGCCGCCTTATTTATGTTGCGGCACAACTCATGTGGCAGCACACACCGAGGCAGCTGTTGCTGCTGCCACATACATATCAACTCGGTTTACACCCACATGGTTGTTGAAATTTTCACAGAATTTTGAATGTAAAATAAGTGGAAAAGGTTGTCAAAATCTCAAATATTTGTTCATTTTTGACGTGTGCGCAAGGCGTTGGGAGGCGTTTCATTAGAAATTTTGCATGGAAAATCAAAAAACTCAGATGATTTCCTTGGTGAGAAGTAGCTGTGTTTTACAGGATACTATTTTTTCCAATTTTTTTTTTCTAAAAATTCTAAAAAATTTTACAGTTTTCTAAAGACAGTTTCACACGAACCCTTAGAAAACAGAGCAAGCGTAAGTTGCCTTGACTACTTTTATTCTGTTGCTGGACAAATGTGTGCTTAGCGAACGCCGCACAGTGGGGCAAAAAAGGTTGCTGTTGACAAATCAATTTTGGAAGCCCAAAAATGAACCGATTTCAAGTTTCTTCTTTTTAATAAGAGATAATAAAATTCCGCGTCGATCTATCCGTGGCGATTTTTTAAAAAAGCTCTACGTTTTTATTTATTTATGTTGAAAAATGAAGGAAAAAGAATTTTTACGTTTAAATGCTTCCAATTTTTTTTTGTAAAATATTTTGAATCAATTTCAA